ATATATATATATATATATATATATGTATATTATATTCTAATGAATATTTAACAGGCGATTTGAATATTTCTGAGATTAGATATTTTGATATATCTAATGATTTATACGTAATCTTAAACTAACGATTTAGTATATGATGTATATGAGACATATTTTGCATATAGATTAAAAGAAGAGTTTTTAATATATTTTACAAATGTATCAAATATTGTTTTATCAAATAATATTCAAGTAAATTGATATCTATTTTATTTTGTAGCACAGTTTTTTTTTTACTTTATAAAACATAATATAGTTTGCATAGATGAAATGTGAATAAAATAAAATATATACACTGGATACTCATTTTTTTAAAACGAAATTTCTCGGTCAATCATCGAAAGAACTGAGCGATGGCATGTCCGTTCGATGCGTTACGCATTGCAGAAACGTAATGGCGGTAAACTGCGCTTGGCTCGTCCCAATTTGGGGTCGATTCGGGGATTCCTACCTGGGCGAGTGCCACAGGAGCAACGAGTGGTGGAAGACACGGCACGGGGATGTGGGCGGACAGCCCGGCGACAACAATGAGCATTGTGATTTGCGCGGGTGTGCCTCGCGCCCCATTGGTCGATTCTCACCACCTCCATGGATCCGTTTCCCGAGGCGAAAGCGAGCTCGGCGGCAAGAGGGTTGTGCTACCACCTCCAAGCCGAACAATACACAATGCGCGCGGCGAATCACCTGGATATCGCCGCTCATCGTCCGACTTTGCGTCTTTGCGACATTTGCATTATGATTTCAATCGTTTTCTTTGCATTGCATTTTTCGATGGTGAATACTTATTTCACCCTACAACTCTATTGATTATGAATGATATTATAAAACGCAAAATTATTACAAGTTTCGACCCAACAGAGAGAGAGTTAAAATTAAATCGTTGATAACAAATAGCAAAATGTTAATCAATTATTATTTTTCTCAAAATTAAAAAATTAAATCCGATTATATTTTAGTGAAAATAATATTTTTAAATATTCTATTATCATATTATTCATTTCTTTTATTGCGAAAAGATTAGTACGAAATAATCATAAGCGTGCAAATCGATAGTCGATTTGAATTAAGGAAGAAAGGATGTTTTACAATTTAACATGCAAAGACTCAACGGAATCAACAAACATGAATTTTTATTAATTTATTATGTAATATTTATTCTAACAAGCTATTACGTGTCTAATTTCTGCGAGGCTGACATTGCACTGGCGTGTCACATTTGCATTTTTTCTCTCTCATTAACTGATAAATAGAGAGTAAAAAAAGTATGTCGTGAATGAGATAGGCAAATAGTTCTGGAAGATATAATCAAAGTACGACGTGTATATCGCAATGACAGATGCTATTTGCCTCTAAACGAAAATATCGCTTCGAGATGAATATCGTTACTGCAATACTGACAGACCGATGCAATTTGGCGAACGTTTCACGCCACCCGCGCTGGTGAATCCGTATACGCCGCGCTTCGTTCCGGTATTGCACATCGCGGCGGCGTTGCACCGCGTTCTTCCATGCCACGTGACGTGTTGCGCATTAATCGCGTTCTCCATCCGCTCTCATTGAGTAACGAAATCGGTGGCGGTTAGTAGGAGGACACAAATGTAGCTACGGTAAGCACGCGTAGCTGTTCATCTGCGTTGCTACTACTACGCCCAGCTATATGAGTTAGCAGCGCCTCAGGCCGTCAGACTGGGGGAAAGGAGCGGGGCCAGGTATAGAATCTAGCAACCGCGAACGTAGTAGGTACACAGACGAACGAATGCCGATCCGTCGACGGTGGCGGCGAGCGTTGGTACAGTACGGCGGGGCGACAAAGGCGACGAGGACGAGGACGTGGACGAGGACGTCAGCGAGGACAACGTCGGGAATCGGTGGCGGTGGTGGTTGTGGTGGAGGTACCAATGACGGATGGTGGTGGTAACGGCGGTAGTGGCGGGCAGAGTCCGTCTCGGCGTGGGTGTCGGAGAAAGGAGGCGGCGACTAGGCCCCAAAAGAGGCGTGGCGTGCGTGGCGGAGCTTGCCGCCACGTACAAACGGCGAGGCGCCTCTACGCGACGGCACGATGAAGAGCCGACGAGAGAACGCGAGGCAGAGACAGAGATCGAGGGGGGAACGAGAACAAGAGCAAAGAGAGGAAACAAGAGGTAGGAGCGAGAGGCCAAACCGCGGTCGTGTTTGGTGGGATAGAGGGAGACAGAGTGCACCGGTAACAAAAGCAAAGGAGAGAGGGAGCGCATCGGTGCGAGAGAGGGTGAGAAAGGGTG